TGTGGCCTGGGTAGGGGCGAGTTAGGGGACTCCTCAGGGCCAGGGGGGGCAAGCGAGCAGAACTGGGTGCGCACGGGATGGGGTGAGGGTGTCCGGGAGTCAGCGGGATTTGAACTCGTACCTCCGGGCGCTCAGCGGCTCACCGCCTTCACCTGCAGTGGGTGCCCGGGTGAGTCGGGGGCGGGAGGGGCGGACACGCGCTCCCCACGCCGCTCCGAGCCCCGCACATGTGCCCAGGCGTCTCTTTGGGCTTGTTTCTCTCGATTTTTGGAGACTGTGGTAGTTGATGCTGAACAGTAACAGTCTGGGCTGTTTGCCTGGAAACAGCTGTATCTTTGCTTTCCCACGACTTTTATGTTGCTGAAGCACGCTCAAGAACAGAAGTGGGGCTCTTCTGCAATGCAGCTTTAAAAAGTTCTTATACTCGACTCGTTGCCTTTTATTAATATATACTTTAAAAAATTATTACCACATTTATATTTTTGAGTGTGAAACCAAAATGAAACTCCATCTCATTGTTCTGTGTACAAATTGTTTTCCTACTTTTCATTTCCTCTGGCTATGTGCTTGCCCGGAAAGGAGCTGGGAGTTCAGTTTGCAGGGGTAAAGGCTTCCAGCTCTGGACTGTCCTTGATGTTCTGTTGTTCTTTCCTTTTTTCCTTCCCTTCAGACAGAATAAAGACCTCAGCTGTTCCGCACTGCAAAGCCATGTAGACAAAACCGCGGGAAGGTGGCGTTTCTAAACACATTTTGCAGCACCCTCTCCCCTCCCCAAATGTTTAAAATGATTTTGCTACTTGCTACATTTCCCACTGATTCTTTCACTGTTTCAAATCCTGATCTTGCTCTTAGATTTTTTTGTTTGTTTTTTTACTTCTCTTCTGGAAGAATGATACTAACTCCACTTCGCTGTATATAAATTATTAACTGTTACATGCCAGAATAAATTGGGAATATGCACACATGTCTCATCATCCAGTTTGACTTCTTGCTGGCAGTGCCTTCCTTGGGTATTGAAAGGACTAATGATTACACTAGCAGTTAACTTCAGATTGTTGCTCCTAGCCTAGCGTCTAGCTTCTCGCACTGAAGTCAGTTATTTAAACACTCTCCAGTGATGATGACAAACTACTTTCAAAAGAGGAGGCTCCAGAACACTTTATTTGGATGTAGAAATATTGACCAAAAATGTAACACTTCCAAGGAGAGATTGCTAAACCTGATGGCAATGAGAGAAAGTGTTCTACTTAGAAATATGAACCTATGTTTGGAATCAGATTTTAGAGTTTCTGATTTATAATATTAACAAAGTGAAGCTAATTATAAGAGCTAGCTGTTCAAAGAGACAGGACTAAGGAATGAGCAAGTCACTTATGGAAACTCCTGTTCCTACCTGGGGAATAAAACTCATTACTCTTGAATCGGGGATTTTTTTTTTTTTTACTTCCTTTTATTCTCTAAAGCCCAAGTACATTCCTGTCCACTAGCTTTGCTCTATCCCTCAAAGTATCACATAGTGTTTTAAGAGATTTGGCATGTGGACACCCTCTGATCACAAATTGACTTAACAGATATTATCATTACACTATATTTTTTTCCTGGCATCATTACAGAGAGATGCATATGACTTATGGGTATATAAGAAAATCCACTTTAAAAAATAATTGGTTAAACTTAAAATTGTCTCACTTTTCATGCCATCAATAACTATTTTTTTTCTTTTTTTCTTAACTCCTACCAAAATCAGCTGTTAGGTATACAAAAAAGTTGAAATAACCTCAATATTATCCCAAGCAAAATATCATTTAAAAATATATTTTTGAATGATAAGATGTTACAAGTCAATCAAACCCTAATTTAAAAGCTAACACAAATTATTCTTTGATTACCCGCTTCTTGGAGTATCTGAATCACACTTTACCTGCATTTGTATGCCAAAATGTCACCTACTATGTTCCAGGCACAAATTGTACTTATTTTTCACATGAAAGTATCTGATTGTACATTTGACCATATCTGCTCTGGTTATATTGTGTCCATTTACTAGTGGATGGATTTTCTAAGCTAGTGTTTTGTTTTTTTTTTTGTTTTTTTTTTTGCCATACCTACCCCAGTTCCCTTCCCCAACTTTTCTTTCTTAGGCAAGGAAGGAGGAACAGGGTGCAGGCCTGAGACAAAAATGTCCTCATAGTATTTTGATGGCAAGTGCCATGTTTCGCAGCCATGCAGTCATACTGAACTGCATGAATTGTTCCATCCACAGCCTCCAAATTACCCCCTCCAATGGGTCTGTGTGATGTTCCTTAACAAGTTATTTCTTGGGGTCAGAAATGTGAACTTTGCCCAAAGTGTGTTGATGCCTGCCTATCAATATTGGCATCTCCAGACCATGAGTCACCACTCCTGTGACTGAATGACTTAGAACTCAAAGGAGGTGAGATTTAATTCCCATGCGAGTAAGGACCACATTCGGTGGGGAAATGTAATTTAACTGAGAACACTTCTGATTTCTGAGTTAGTCCCAGTGACAGCAGCATGAGCCCAATATCTTGGGAGTGAGACTGGTGAAGATATAATCCAAATCATCATGCTTTTTACATAGAGAATTGGATCAGGGTAAAGAGAAGCATCTCTAATACCAATCAGACGAAATAATGCATATAAATTATGTGTGCGTAAGAGTGGTACTCTTACACAATTATTAATGGTGTATGTTAGTCACATCACACAGAAGAGGGTGGTTTAGGGACAAGAGGATCCCACCTTTTTTGTCTGCTTTGATTAAGCAAATGATTTTGGAGGGCTCCCCCGTGCCTCAGTTTCCCTAGTTGATCTGTGCCTGCTCCCAGGGCTCCATCCCTTCCTTCATTGTATACAAGCTCCCTAAGCAGTTCTTCATGCCATGCACTCTGTCAGGTGCTGGGCATACAACAGTGACTGGGACCCACTGTCTGCCCCCAGAAAGGTCACAGTCTTGAGAGAAATACTGAGAAAGAAACAGGCAAATACAACCTATGTTGGTAATTGCTACAATCAAGGTACTCCAAGGGCTGCAGAAGCACCTAACTCAGCTTTGGGGACCTCCAGGAAACTTCTGGAGGACATTCCATTTCTAAGTCTGAGAAAGAAATAGGAACTATAAATCCAACATGTTTTTTTATATGCACTGTTATAGGGCATCATACATGGGTGTGGTAATTCTACTTTGTCCTTTCACAGTCTAAGGGTCTTTGGCTTTAAAGATGACCCTAAAGTTCCCTCCTTTGAGATACCAAGATGTTATTGTTTCTGGTATCAGCAATCCTGATAGCTGAACTTTTGCCTCAGTTGGGTAGAGTGAGGATGAGGGCACGGTCTAGGTCAGGAGGGAGAACAGCGATAAGAAGCTCCTCCCTCCCAGCCAGCGAGGGCCCTGGGATTGGTGGTGTTTCCTTTCCGGAGGCTGCAGGCACACAGGGATGTTGGAGGGGTGCAGCTTGGTTGACTGATTCTAGGCAGGAGCGCCTTTAGGAGCTGGCCCAGAAAACCTACCCTCACTTGGGCAAGGACATGAGGGAATTCACAAAGCCCTACATTATTCATTAACAAGACTGTTGGCAAATTTCTCGGGGCTGGTAAGGACGGCCATAACTTGACAAGTTCAGTTATCTAGTTAAGAGCTGGTAAAGATTTTCCAGACAAATTGAACCCACAAGTGACTTTCTAAAACAAATGCTTTTAGCTATCAGAAGGGCCTCAAGAAAGGAATAAATGACGATTCTTGTTTTGATGAAGTACACAATGTGTCTTATAACAATTATTCCAGAAATTGGAAAATAATTAACCTCATTAAAATGTCTCTCAAGCAGATTTGATATTTTGAATTCTTGGGCTAGAGTAAGCAAAAGCAACAATAGAATGCTTAAAATAATATCACTAGACTCTATTGTTTTTCCTGCTATTATTAAACAAGCAGTAAAAAAATATCAGCTATAGAACAATACAAAAGACATATTCCTACCATTCTTACTCATACAATGAAAGGGGATGTAAACCAAAATATGTTTCAACTGTCAATTTCTTTTGAGGAGTTTCACACTAAGAATCACTCTGGGTTAATATTTTTATAGTCTGATACACAGTGAGCTAGGTCCATCCTGTGTTTCTTCTTCATTGTTCTCCTGGTCTTACTCCTGTAACACAAATATGTTCTAGTTTTCTTTCTATTTCTCTGTTCTTTTATTCCTCTTCCCAAACCTTCAGTGTAGGTATACCATGAGGGTAGGTCTCACCTGGCTTCTCTCTTTTCTCTACCCTCACTTCCCTGGGGGAGATCTACTTCCTTGATTCGGTACCTTCTGTGAGGTTGACTTCAAACCTTTTAAAAAAAATTCCAGTCTGGTATATTCCCATTCCCATGGAACATCTCACCTGAGCTGTCCTGATTTGATCGCAGACTTAGCAAATATGTCTAGAACTGAACTTATTTTATGCA